TGTGAAAGAATGATGCTTGAGAGGGAGGAGAGGAATGATTATGCGCTATAGATAGGCTATAAAAAGTTTCCTCTAGAGTCTGGATCAAAATGGTGGAGTAGGAAGATCCTGGGCTCACCTCCTCCCCTGGACACACCAAATCTACAACTACATATAGACAACTATCTCTGAGAATGACCTGAGGACTAGCAAAACAGATTTTCAGATTTGTTATATATGAACCTCATGGTAACCACAAACAAAAACCTATAACAGATACACAAAAAATAAAGAGAAAGGAATACAAACATAACACTAAAGAAAGTCATCAGAGCACAGGGGAAGGAACAAGAGAATAAGAAAGAAACAGAGAATTGTAAAAACAACCATAAAACAATTAACAAAATAGCAATAGGTATATCCCTGTAAGTAATTAAATGTAAGTGAACTAAATGCTCCAATCAAAAGACATAGGGTGGCTGAATGGATTAAAAAAAGACCCATTTATATGCTGCCTGTAAGAGACTCACTTCAGATTTAAAGATACACACAGACTGAAAGTGAAGGGATGGAAAAAGGTATTTTATGCAAATAGAAATGAAAGGAAAGCTGGGTTAGCAATATTTACATCAGACAAAATAGACTTTGAAACAAAGACTGTCACGGAAGACACAAAAAGGCATTACATAATGATAAAGGGATCAATCCAACAAGAAGATAATAACACTTGTAAATGTGCACCCAACTCAGGAGCACCTAAATACATAAACCAAATATTAATAGATGTAAAGTGAGATATTGACAGTAATACAATAATAGTAGGGGACTTTAAAGCCTCACTTACATCAATGGATAGATCATTCAGAGAGAAAATCAATAAGGAAACATTGGCCTTAAATGACACATTATATCAAGTGGACTCAATAGATATCTATAGAACATTTCACCCCAAACTAGCAGAATATACCTTCTTTTCCAGTGCACATGGAAGATTCTCCCAGATAGATCATATCTGAGCCACAAAACAAGTCAGAAAATTTAAGAACACTGAAATTATATTAAATAAGCATCTTTTTGGACCACAATGGTATGAAAATAGAAATCAGTTACAAGAAAAATGGAAAAAACACGAACACATGGAGGCTAAACAACATGATGCTAAGCAACCAGTGGGCCCGTGAAGAAAGCAAAGAGGAAATCACAAAATACCTTGAGACAAATGAAAACGGAAATACAATGTTCCAAAATCAGTGGAACACAGCAAAAGCATTTTCAAGAAAGAAGTTTATAGCGATCCAGGCCTACCTCAGGAAACAAAAATCTCAAATAAATAATCTAACCTTACACCTAAAGGAACTAGAAAAAGAAGAACAAATAGAGCCCAAAGTTAGTAGAAGGAAGGAAATAAAAAATATCAGAGCAGAAATAAATGAAATAGAGATTAAAGAACAATAGAAAATACAATGAAACTAAAAGCTGATTCTTTGAAGAGATAAACAAAATTGATAAACCTTTAGCCAAACTCATAGAGAGGACCCAAATAAGTAAAAACAAATGAAAGAGAAGTTACAACTGATACCACAGAAATGCAAAGGATCATAAGAGTCTGTGATAAACAATTACTTGCCAAAAAATTGGACAACCTAGAAGAAATGGATAAATTCCTAGAAACATACAATCTTCTGAGACTGAATCACGGAGAAACAGAAAATCTGAACAGACAGATGACTAGTAATGAAATTGAATCAGTAATCAAAAAGTTCCAAACAAAAGTCCAGAACCATGCAGCTTCACAGGTGAACTCTACCAAACATTTAAAAAAGACTTAATATCAATCTGTCTTTCTCAAACTATTCTAAAAAATTAAAGAGGAAAAGGAACACTTCAAAAATCATTCTACAAGGGCAGTGTTACCCTGATACCAAAACCAGATACAGACACTATAAAAAAAGAAAAGAAAATCACATGACAGTGTTCCTGATGAACAAAGATGCAAAAATCCTCAGCAAAATATTAGGAAACCAAATTCAACAATACATTAAAAGGGTCGTATACCACAATGAAGTGGGATTTGTTCCAGCAATTCAAGGATGGTTCCACATCTGCAAATCAATCAACATGAAACATCATATTAACAAAACGAAGGATAAAAATCATATGATCATCCCAACAGATGCAGAAATACCATTTGACAAAATTCAACATCGACTTATGAAAAAAACTGTCAGGGGTTTCCCTGGTGGCGCAGTGGTTGAGAGTCCGCCTGCCAATGCAGGGGACGCGGCTTCGTGCCCCGGTCTGGGAGGATCCCGCATGCCGCGGAGCAGCTGGGCCCGTGGGCCGTGGCCGCTGAGCCTGCACGTCTGGAGCCTGTGCTCCACAACGGGAGAGGCCACAGCAGTGAGAGGCCCACGTACAGCAAAAAAAAGAAAAAAGAAGAAGAAAAAGAAAAAACTGTCAACAAAGTGAGTATAGAAGAAATATAACCTCAACATAATAAAGGCCATATATGACAGACTCACAACTAACATAATACTCAATGGTGAAAAGCTGAACGCTATTCCTCTAAGATCAGGAACAGGACAAGAATGCCCACCCTCACCACTGTTATTCAACATAGTAATGGATTACTATTTTCAGATGACATGCTACTGTATATAGAAAACCTTAAAGACTCCTCCAAAATAACTTAGAACTAATAAATGAATTCAGTGAAACTGTGGGATTCAAAATCAGTATACAGAAATCTCTTGTGTTTCTGTATAGTAATAACAGACTTTCAGAAGGAGAAATGAAGGAAATAATCCCATTTACATTTGCATCAAAAAGAGTAAAATACCTAGGAATAAATTTAATCAAGGAGATGAAAGACCTGAACTCTGAAAACTATAAGACATTGATGAAAGAAATTGAAGATGACACAAATAAATGGAAAGATTATATTATGTTCATGGATAGGAGAATTAATATTGGTAAAATGTACACATTACCCAAAGCAATCTACAGATTCAGTGCAATCCCTATGAAAATACTAATGACATTTTTCACAGAATGGAACAAATAATCCTAAAATTCATATGGAACTGCAAAAGGCCCTTAATAACCAAAGTAGTTTTAAGAAAGAAAAACAAAGTTGGAGTTATCATGCTTCCTGCTTTCAAACTATACTAGAAAGCTATAGTAATCAAAACTATATGGCACAAAAACAGATGCATAGATCAATGGGACAGAATAGAGAGCCTAGAAATAAACCCACTCACATGTGGGTCAGTTAATTTACAACGGAGGAGCCAAGACCATACATTGGGGAAAAGACATTCTCATCAGCAAGTGATGCTGGGAAAACTGAATCACTTTCCTATACCATATACAAAAATAAACTCAAAATGGATTAAAGACTTAAATGTAAGGCCTGAAACCATAAAACTCCTAGAAGAAAACATAGGCAGTATGCTTTTTGACATCGTTCTTAGCAATATTTTTTTGGATGTATCTCCTCAGGCAAAAATAAACAAATGGGACTACATCAAACTAAAAAGCTGTTGCACAGCTAAGGAAACCATCAACAAAATGAAAAGACAATCTACTGAATGGTAGAAGATATTTGCAAATGATATATTTGATAAAGGGTTAATATCCAAAATATACAGACAACTCACACAACTCAATATCAAAAACAATCTGATTTAAAAAATGGACATTTAAAAAATGAATATACATTTATCCATGGAAGACATACACATGGCCAGCAGACACATGAACAGATGCTCAACATCACTACATCAGGGAAATGCAAATCAAAACCACCCCACACCTGTCAGAATGGCTGTTATCAAAAAGACAACAATTAAGAACCATTGTTACTTTAAATTAAAAAAAAAACCAATGTGAACATGATTTTTTCTGTATTGAAAGCTTGAATTATTCATTTTATATTTGGATCTTTCTGAATCTTAGTGTAACTTTTGGAATATGAATTTATAATTGAATATTGAGATGTGAAGCCGTGAAATCAGAAATATTAACAAATCAATGTAAGCAAGAAGTGCCAATTGCCAATTATCACAAGACAGGTACAAAGAAATGTGAAAAAAAAAATGACAAATTAAGTGTTGACAAGGACATGGAGAAAAGGGAACCCTTGTGCATTATTGGTGGACTTCATGCAATGCACCAATTGTATGAAGTTTCCTCAAAAAATTAAAAATAGGACTACCATACAATCCAGCAGTTCCACTTCTGGGTATTTATCCAGAAAGTATGAGAACACTAATTGAAAAATACAGGCAGACCTTTGTTCGTTGCAGCATTATTTATAGTAGCCAAGATATGGATGAATGGCGAATAGCAAGATTTCATTATTTCTCATGGCTGAGTAATATTCCAGTGTGTGTGTGTCTGTGTGTGTGTCTGTGTGTTTGTCTGTGTGTTTGTGTACCATACCTCACACACACACACATATACACACACAGGAATATTACTCAGCCATGAAAATAATGAAATCTTGCCATTTGGAACAGCACGGATGGACCTAGAGGGGTATTATGCTAAGTGAAATAAGTCAGACAGAGAAAGACAAATATCGTTTGATTTCACTTATATGTGGAATCCAAAAAACGAAATAAGTGAACAAACAAAACAGAAACAGACTCATAGATACAGAGGAAAAATTGTTGGTTGCTAGAGGGGAGGATGGAGCGGGGGGTTGGGCAAAATAGGTGAAGGTGATTAAGAGGTATAAATTTCCAGTTATAAAATAAATAAGTCAATGGGGATGTAGGGAATATAGTCAATAATATTTTAAGAACTTTGTATGGTGACAGATGGTTACTAGACTTATTGTGGTGATCAGTTTATGATGAATCACTGTGCTGTACACCTGAAACTAATATTGTATGTCAGTTGTACTTCACTGTACACATTTTTTAATCTGATGATATATTATATGGTTTTGCTTGTTACTCTTTGTTCATTAAAAGAAAAAAGCACAATCCAACAATTAATAATTTATTTCTTTTCAGTTTCCAAAAAAAGACTTACAGCAAAATGAATAATCCAGCTATCAAGAGAGTAGGAAATCATATCATCAAATCTCCTGAAGACAAGCGAGAATACCGTGGACTAGAGCTGGCCAATGGGATCAAAGTACTTCTCATCAGTGATCCCACAACAGATAAATCATCAGCAGCACTTGATGTACACATAGGTACAGTTTAAAATTATGAATTAAGCTTTGTTCAGTTTCATTGACCTAATGTTGACAATTATTAGAACTCTCCATATTTGTGCAAATGGAGACCTGGTAGTTACCAGTTCAATGTACCTTACTTTGTACAGTAGTCCTGTACAGCTGTTGGTAATCTACAGTTGTCTAAGTTAAATCGCCTTACATTTACCAAAAGTATCTTGTTAGGTTCCCAGCTAAGGTGACCTAGCAGCAAGGAAATTCATTCCTATCCTTTAAAACAGTGACAGTTCTAATGCCTTTACTTTATAAACTTTTGATATACTAGGGAATACCATATTTCCTAAATTCTTGTGTGCACATTTCTTCCACATTTAATGCTGCTTTAATCAAGTTATTTCTTATTTATATGTACATTTAGTTTCTTTTTTTCCTCTCTGAAAAGCTTTTATTTAATTCAATGGCATTTTAGAATTGGGAAAATAAGATAATAACCATCATAAGTTGAACAAATAATTATTGCCAAGCACAGCTCAGTGTGCTTTGCAAATTATCGTCTAATTTGTAGTTGCACAACTCTCTAAGTAAGGTATGTATACAAAAAGTGACTGAGAGCTTCACTGGTGGTGCAGTGGTTAAGAATCTGCCTGCCAATGCAGAGGACAGGGGTTTGAGACCTGGTCCGGGAAGATCACACATGATGCGGAGCAACAAAGCCCGTGCGCCACAACTACTGAGCCTGCACTTTAGAGCCCACGAGCCACAACTGCTGAAGCCCGCGTGCCTAGAGCCCGTGCTCCGCAACAAGATAAGCCACCGCAATGAGAAGCCTGCACACCACAACGAAGAGTAGCCCCCACTCACCGCAACTAGAGAAAGCCCGCGCCCAGCAACAAAGACCCAGTGCAGCCAAAAATAAATAAAATAAGTAAATAAACAAATTTTAAAAAAAAGTGACTGAAGCAAAATATTTTGCTCAAAGTTTTACAGCTAGTAGAGCTGCTAACCCCCAAACTTATGCTCTTAGCACTGTGCTATATTGTCTCCTGCAATAAAATATAAGAGCTAGAAAGTTTCTAGCTCTTTAAAACAGTGAATTCAACTCTTCCTCTTAGTGTGATGTGTGAGGAAGCTAATGTCCAGAGGAGTTAAGTATCTGCCCAAGGCCACCAACTAACTGATGTCAAAAGCTGGGGCTTGAATCTGAACTGCACCATTTAGAGTAGCCTATGCTTAACTTTCTCTGACTGTGGTTGGAGTTATCATGCTAACAGAAGTTCCAAATCATCTGTGATTCATCTGTACTCCATAGCGTTCAACATATAAAAAAATGATTTATTATATATATATATTTTCTCTTCTCTTTCAGGTTCCTTGTCAGATCCTGAAAATATTGCTGGCTTAAGTCATTTTTGTGAACATATGCTATTTTTAGGAACAAAGAAATACCCTAAAGAAAATGAATACAGCCAGTTTCTCAGTGAGCATGCAGGAAGTTCAAATGCCTTTACTAGTGGAGAGCATACCAATTACTATTTTGATGTTTCTCATGAACACCTAGAAGGTGCCCTAGACAGGTAATGCTGAAAATACCCTATGAATTATCCACCTGTGTTCACTTATCATGTTAATAATAATAATTAATATTTTTACAAAGATGTCTTCACAGCTTTATAGCTTAACAAAAGATATTTTAACCAGTATTTTCCCCCTCTGGATTTTATAAAAAAGAAAATAATGAATGATGTCGTATATTTACTTTGTGGTAGAGGAAAAATAATGGCATGACTTTAAACCAGACTTTAAGCCTACAAAATATTTTATTGACTTATAAAATTCTCACCAGGCCTTCCCATTCTAACTGGTGTTACATATGAAGCATGTGATGAAGAATAAACTGTAGTGATGTCATGGATCTCCTTTCAACCATCTCCTGTTCCAGAATGCTAGAACTTAAATATTCTGTTATCCTTTAGTTCCTCAATCCTCAAGGACTACTTAGTGGATACAGAATGTTTTGACCTGCTGTTTCAGCCCTGGGGACATTTTGTGAAAGTATTTTCTGGAGCAAGCTCCATTAGGCTATTTTAATTTCTTGGTCAATTTTCTATACAGCTAACAGTATATAATTTTTTATCATATCAGTGATTTGATTCATTGTTCAAAGTGTAATTTTTCCTGTGGTGAATTTTTACAGTTTTCTGTGTTACCAAGAAGATGTAATTCTGCAGCCTTTTGATGGGTCTATAATGAAGTTTGACTTCACAGTTTTAGTAATTCTCAGCTTTAATTGCTTACTTATATTAATAGTAATTTTTTTTCAAACCTAATAGTTTGAATTTATTCTGTAGCACAAAGAACATTAACAGAACAAGGGCATGGGTTCAGGATACAGGACTGGGTCAGAGTAGCCTGTTTCTTATTTATTCTAGCTTATGTTTCAGTCTTCAGGCAGCAGCTTTGAGGTGTAATCGTCTTTTGTATGTATTCCCAGAAGACTTCCATTAATGAGTTCCCTGGGATCATACACTGAATTTAATTTCCTGCTTTACAAATGCTTCAGCAGATGTTCATATAATAGATCTCTGTTTGATGGAGGATGTCTGTTACTTGGATCAGAGTTAAAAAACCACTTATATAGAGCATCTTTCAAAAATATTGATTATACTGTGTCAAAATCATGACCCTTTATGTGGACTTGTCCAACTATGGTATGTAGCTATTAGGCACTTTTCCCAGCCTGAATTGAGGTAGGTAAAAGTGGTTATATGTCTAGAATTATCTGTTTCCATATATCTTTGATTATAGGCTCCGGATAGATGGAGTTTCCCTTTGGATTGGTATGCGTAAAGTACTTAGCACGGGATTGTATTCACTATGTGTTTAAAATAATATCGAGTAATGGTAACAGTCTTTTTGACGGCTGGACGATGAGGTGCAGTTGATGAGATGTTTATAAACCCAGGAGTCTCTTAGGCCCACTGAGTAGTAGTCGCATTCAGACAGAGCCTCTTCTCTTGGCTTCATCTAAATTCTGGACATTGTTTTTTTATAAGATGGGGTCTAAAGTTTCTTAAGAAGACTTATTAGTATATGAAATCATGATTTAAATTGCAACCTGATATAGGAGAGTTAATTTATTAGCTAAAGGAATCTTAGTTCAGCTTTGGTACTGCTATTAAAGAATAGCCTCAAGAAAAGCATATTGGTTACTTATGTTAAAGTTCCATGCCATGTTATTTGTTGAACCACTGCTTATTAAATTTTTAAAATTCTCTTAGTATTTCATAAAAGCCCATAATTATGTCTTAGTCAAACTACTGTGTCATAGGTTTTTCACTCCATTATTTTTTCCACTAATTAAAGTTTGTTTCCTTTTCTTTATAAGAAGGAAAAATATTCAGATAGAACCTTTTAAAAATAGGTCACTTAGTGTGTCCTAAAATGCCTGAGTCTTAGTGAAATTGCACTTAAAACTGTAAATTTAAGATTTATTGCCTAAGAACCATCACCTGCCTTTTCCTTTCTTGGAGAATTGGGCATATACAACAGGGATTTTCATAGACATGCCGAATTGTAAGTCTTAAATACATTGCTTCTGTCTCATAAGTCTGCCCTGACTTTTTGTTGTTGTTGTATTGTGGTTTATAATAAGAAATATATATTTGGCCTTTGTCCCTGGTCCTGGCCCATAGCTCCTAAAACCCTTGGAATTTCCTAAGTGATGAGAGCCAAAGGTTGCTTTTTGTTATTTTAATGAAGTGACTTTGGGGAAGTCCCTTGATAATCTGAGGTTGGGGGCTGGTTGCCAGGGAAGCCAGCCCTGTGATTAAGGGTTGGAACTTTCAGTCCAGGGGCTGGAGATTGACTTCAGTCACCAGTGATCAGTGATTTACCCAATCCTGACGAGGTTTGGAGAACTTACAGGTTGGTGAACACATGGAGATTTGGGGAGGGTGGCCTGCCTAGAGGGCATGGAAGCTCCATACCCTTCCCACATACCTTGCCTTATGCATCTCTTTCATCTGGCTGTTCCTGAATCATATCCTTTTATAATAAATCCAGTGATTTAGTAAGTAAAACATTTCTCTGAGTCCTGTAAGCTGATCTAGGAAATTAATCGAACCCGAGGAGGAAGGAGGTCGTGGGAACCTCTGATCTACAGCCAGTTGGTCAGAAGCCCAGGTGACAACCTGGACTTGCAATTGGTGTTTGAAGTTGGGGGCAGCCTTGTAGGACCTGTGAGATCTGATGATACCAGTATTGAGTTGAATTTTAGGCCACCCAGCTGGTGTCGGAGAATTGCTTGGTGGTGTGGTAACAACACATGGCAATTGTCAGAATCAGAGGTGTTAATCTTTTTATATTTTCACTAATTATTTAACATATCTGGTGTAGAGTTCTCTGAATTTACATATGTATGATATTATATTTTTTGTTACTTAGAACTTATATTCCTTTTCTCTAAGTAGGAATGGTAGTTTTTTCTTATTCTGTAGAATTCATATTTCCTATCTAAGTTTCAAACATATTTTTTTAAACATATTTTTAAAAGGCCACTTAAAATAACAGCTTTCAAATTGTTAATTATGTTTCTTACCCTTAGGTTTGCACAGTTTTTCCTGTGCCCCTTGTTTGATGAGAGTTGCAAAGACAGAGAGGTAAATGCAGTTGATTCAGAACATGAAAAGAATGTGATGAACGATGCTTGGAGACTCTTTCAGTTGGAAAAAGCTACAGGGAATCCCAAACACCCCTTCAGCAAATTTGGAACAGGTTTGTCAGCTGCGGCTCTAATGCATCCATTCTCCTTGACCTCATTTAAACCATGGCCCCTTTGCCCAGTATTGTATTTTACAGTTCAGGATAGAAGATTGCAGAACTCCTTGTTCCCACCTACCCTGTTGTTCATAAACTCAGAGTCTGGAGCTGATAAATGGTTGTTATATCATTGTTACTACTTGGTATTTCTTAAACCATGCGCCTACACATATGTTATCTGGCAGGTCCCTATGTAGGTACCTATATGTGATTCGTGACCTAAGAAGAGGTTAAAACTTAGGTATGTGAGCTTCATGGAGAAGGTGATAGTTTATTGAGAAGAAGAGTGACCAAATATGAAGCAAGTTTGTTGGATAACAAGGTGATAGAATTGAATTTAGATTTTAGAAATAGTAAGAATGAAGTGGTAATAATTCCTTTAACAGATGAGTAACATTTTGGCTTGTAGTTCAAAAAGAAGGATGTCAACAGGAGTTGGGCCCTTGGCATTGGATATTTTTTTAAATTGAGGTGTAGTTGATGTACAATATTATGTAATTTTCAGGTGTACACCAGAGCGATTCTGGCATTGGACTTTGTACGTAATACGTGGAATGATATTCTCAAAATTGTAGTAACAGTGACATAAGCAGTTATTTAGCCCTCTAGAGGTTACTCTGGCCATCCCATACAAATAGGGGTCTGAGTGTTTAAGGAACAGAGCAGTTAGAGCTGTGAATAGATATTTTTAAAAAATATTTATTTGGCTGCGTCGGGTCTTAGTTGTAGCACATGGGATCTTTTAGTTGTGGCATGTGGGATCTTTGGTTGCGGCATGCAGGATCTTTTAGTTGCAGCATGCAAACTCTTAGTTGCGGCATGTGGGATCTAGTTCACTGACCATGGATTGAACCTGGGCCCCCTGCATTGGGAGCTTGGAGTCGTAGCCACTGGACCACCAGGGAAGTCCCTGTGAGTAGATATTAACCAGCATTTCAAAGGGAGGAGACAATAGATCTCTTTATTCTGAGTAAATAGAATGCTCACTTCAAGGCTTGTTGAACCCCCCTGCTCCCATCACCTCCACTTCTACTATCTACAGGTAGATAGATGCATAGCGTCTGCTCCGGGCATGACCATAGAAGACACACAAGGTCCCTGCTCTCAAAGTGCTACAACATCCTGGTAGGAGATTAGAGGTGGGGAGTAACAGGGAGTAGAATAAAATAAATATAGAGATTCTTGATTTTACAATTGTACCCTTTTTCTTTATTCAGTTTTTCATTAAAAAGTACATTTAATTTAAATATTTAAATGATACAAAAGTATTTTTTTTAAAAAAGCAAAAACAAAAAGTTGCCCTTTTCTTCATCTACTCTTGCCATTACCACTTCACCAGATGTAATCATTGTTAAAGGTTGCTTTGGGGGCTTCCCTGGTGGCGCAGTGGTTGAGAGTCCACCTGCCGATGCAGGGGACAAGGGTTCGTGTCCCGGTCCAGGAAGATCCCACATGCCGTGGATCGGCTAGGCCCGTGAGCCATGGCCGCTGAGCCTGCGCGTCCGGAGCCTGTGCTCTGCAACGGGAGAGACCACAACAGTAAAAGGCCCGCGTACCGCAAAAAAAAAAAAAAGGTTGCTGTGATTTTAAAATACTGCTTTGGGGATTATGAAATAGCATAAAAATAATAGATTGTTTAGTGTACTTAAAATTTATGCTTATTACATAAGTTAATTTGGGGAACTTTTAAAAAAAGACTATAAAGACAGCTTTCTTTCAGTTTGGATACCATTCTAATGTATCTAGCAGCAGCCAGGGAATTAGCATAGCTTTATAGAAATAGGAGTTTTTAAAAATCGTAATTAGAAGCAGTGATACTGTTCTTTAGACTTATAATATTTGGCACCCTGTGACAGCATCACTGCTAAGGTGGATATTGTGGTCTCTAAAATGTCTATGTAATGATTAATTATCTGAAAAGTGGCTTTCGTAGAGGACATCAGCACACATGGTATATCAAGAGGGACTGAGTTTTAAAAACCAAATTTCAAATTACTACATCCAAATGAGTGTTGTCCTTTAAATGGTCCCTTTGGCAGGTTAGATACCTCCACCAACAGTGCTGCTATTGTGCAGAACGTGTTAGAGCTCCTCTTTGGGAGTTGCCTTCTTTTAAATAGTCTCACTGGTGATAAATCACAATCAGCATAATCAGGAAGCAGCCACAGATCTTCCAGAAATAAATCCAGTGAATAAGGTGAGCAGTATTACCTCTGGTCACAAACAAGAAACAATCTTAAAATATCCTAGAAGAAGGTTTCGGGAGTGATGGGCAAAGAAAAACATTGAATGAGGTCAGTTACATAGAGGTGGAGTTTAAGAGCATATTTCTTTTTTAACCACTGACAAGGCTAGGCAGTTAGCGAAATATGAGGTAATATAAACAGCTAAGAGGTGAGTTAGCCAGACTCAGTACAAAAGTACAGAAAATGTGATATAAGTAATGCAAATACCAAGTTACCTACTCAGTTTAGAAAAACTAACATTGAACTTTTTGGAGTAGAGGTTCTGTCGATAGTTAAGGTCACAGACAAGTTTGAAAGTATGATGAAAGCTGTATACCCTTACCTTAGAAATTACACACGTATAAAATTTTGCAGAAGTTATTTTTGCAGAAGAATCCTTGTCAGAAATTCATACTTAATTTACTTCTATTATTTTTTAGTAACTTCAGATGTTTCTGTGAATGTGGGCCATTTTGTCCATCAAGGGATTATGATTTATTATTTTAACATTAATATTTAAAATATTATTTTAATAATATTATTATTATTTACTATCAGGAAAAGCTGGGTATTTTTAAATGAACAAAAACCAAGCATTGTGTTCTGTATTTTTAAGAAAACCTTACAATAAAATGTTAGTCCTTAACAGTACTTTTTCTTTATATAACCCACAGTAAGAAGCATATTTTACTCAGAGCACATGTATGTGTGTTTGTGTAAGCAACTGAAACAAAAGTTTTACCAAACAATATCTTTCTTATATTTTCAGATGTAGTCTGGTACCCTCTGTTATATTCTGTTTCTTTTAAAAAAAAATTCTGGTCTGCCAATACATTAAATTTATTTCAGCACAATCGAGTGGCTCCCAACCTACAGTTTAAGTAATTCAGAGTGATAGGCAGTCATTTCATAGGCAGTGATAGACCCAGGAAAAGCATTTGATAAAACTCCTTCATGAACAAAACAACAAAAAACTCTCGAGTTGATAACAACCTATGCCAGACATCATGATTAATTCTGACGTTTCAAAGGGATTTCTGTTGAAAGGCAAAAACAAAACAAGAATACCCTCTAATCAATTTTTTGTTCAGTTGTGCCGTAGGTACTAGTCATTGCAGGAAGTTAAGGGAAAAAAACGTGATAAGTAAGAGGTTGAAAGGAAGCAAAAGGAAACTTCCCTTATTTCCATATGATTGCATAAAAAATTCAAGAACTCTTCAAATCAGTCATTAAAAATAAGATTATTCACCAGCGTTGCCAAAAGAAGAGAAACACTAACATTGCATTCTTGTATCAATAGTAATCAATTAGAAAAATGCTACAGGAAAAATTATTTCATTTACAATATAAAAATATCTATAAGGTATTTAGAAACAACTCTAACAGAAGAGCAAGAAATATATAATGGATATAAAAGAATGCCTGAGTAGGGCTTCCCTGGTGGTGCAGTGGTTAAGAATCCGCCTGCCAATGCAGGGGACACAGGTTCGAGCCCTCGTCCAGGAGCATCCCACATGCCATGGAGCAACTAAGCCCATGTGCCACAACTACTGAGCCTGCATTCTAGAGCCTGCGAGCCACAGCTACTGAGCCCACGTGCCACAACAACTGAAGCCTGCGCGCCTAGAGCCCGTGCTCCACAACAAGAGAAGCCACTGCAATGAGAAGCCCATGCACCACAACAAAGAGTAGCCCCCGCTCGCCACAACTAGAGAAAAGCCCACACACAGCAACAAAGACCCAATGCAGCCAAAAATAAATAAATAAAATAAATTAAAAAAAAAAAAGCTTGAGTAAACAGGAAGATAAACCATGTCCGTGAATGGGTAAACTCAACATTACACAGTTATTTCACCCCTAATTTATCTAAATTCAGTGTAGTGCCATTTGAAAGCCCTAGAAGTTTTTATTTTATAATCTGATTATAAAATTAATAAGAAAGAGTAAAGGGCCAAGAAGAGCTAAGATAATTTTGAAGAACAACAAAGAAGGCACTACTTCTACCAGATATCAAAATTTTAGTTGTTACAGTAGTGGAACTGGTGCAAGGATACCTGAAGATAACAGTAGAATAGATTATAGACCCTAGAAGCATATCCACAAGTGTATGGAAACTTGACATAAGACAGAGGTACATTACAAATGAGTAGGTAAAGGATGGACCTTTCAGTAACTGGTGTAGTGGCAATTATCTATGTAGAAATAAATAAAATTAGATCTCATCTCACACCATGCACAAAAATAAATTCCAGGTTGACTGGACCTAATTATAGAAAGAAAACTTTATACAACTTTTAGAAGAAAATATACGAGAATTTTTAAAAATCTTAAGATAGGAAAAGCGTTCTCAAGCACACATAGCACAAACCATATTTTTAGAGGTAAAGATAAGCCATAGATTTAAAGATAAATTTGACTTCATTAAAACTTAACATTTCTGTTCAATAGAAACACAAAAACAAAAGACAAGCACATACCCAGTGAAGATATTTGCAAAGCATATAGCAGATAAGAACTTCTATAAGTAAATAAGTAAAAGATAAAACAGCTCACTAGAGAAATAGGCAAAGGCTGTTTTGAGTCATTTACTTTGTTTGAAAGTCATTTTTGTAGATATTATGTGCTAAATCTGTCTCCACACACACGTCTTCATTGACTCCATGTGTGATCCTCCTAGCCTCAGACTTCAGCCAGGAATCCCACCTCCCACTAGCATATTCCTACGTGATG